ATTTATAAACTATTATAGTTATATAAGCAATTTAAATATATATAGGATTAGCTCGAGCTGGCTTATTAGCTTGGCTTGGCTCAGCTTAAAAGCTGTGATGAAGCTGGCTTATTGTAAGCCGATCCTATCCCTACTTCGAAATAAAATAAGCTTTGTACAGAAAGTTTAAATATATAATGCGCATATAAATTTTTTTTAGCGCATATTTTTTAAATTTGTTTAGGCGGAAAATGCGCATATAATTTTAAAATTTGCGCATATACTATTTATACGTATGTAATGTGCTCTTGCGCTGATAAAATTTTTTTGAATTTATAACACTGGGTAACGCTAGAATATTGATCATTTGGCCGGCATTAACTGATCGACATTAATTGGCCTAAACTATAGCCTAATCCTCTAATTCAGGCCGATCGACATCTGAATATACAGATAGAATAGCATTCTTATGTATTTTTTTTATAAATAAAGGCAGAATTGCCCTAACAAAATTTTTATTGTTTCTTTCTATTAACTCCATCTTATATTATAATACGTTTTATTTTAATTAAAAAACTATTCAAATACAAAAATTTATCGATTTATGAGTTTTATATATATTAGTTTCTTTATACTGTATTTTGTATCTTTAAAATTGGCTACTATTTTATAAAACGGCAATACAATAAACTGCTTTTCTCTTGATATACCAGGTCGAATTTAATGATTTTACTACCATCAAACTGCCCTACAACTTTGTTAAAAGTCAAATAGAGTTTACTTGACAACTAAATCAACTACACAACTATATAGTTTGTAATTTGTAACCGATCACGAACCGGAATTTAATCACACACAAGCACGTTTAGAATTGCAGTATTAAGATGCTTTTATATTTTTGAAATCCATATTATTTATTTATTTATTTTTTTTTTTGAATAACGTTTCGACGTTATTTATCACAATAAAATAATACAATACCAAATGTTCGAATTATGTCATACAGCTTGAAAACCATCAGGTGTACCTTCAGCCGGTTTTTGATTTACATCGTTTATGTACGCACTATGTGCTTCTGACCAAATATATTTATGTTGTAATAATTTTTGAATTCTACTATATGCTTCTACATTTGCATATGGTATACCAGTTTTAGAATCTTTATATTTTGCAATAAGTCCAGTAAAAGGGCATAATACTTTTTTTGCTCCTGTTAAA